GCTGTTTCTTTGAAATAGCTCCTCAATTATCCTCCAGACCCACTACTTCTAAGAAAATCTTGTAGCGCCGGGAATCGAACCCAGGACCTCAGAATCTGTAGCCAGGTACTCTGACCACTAGACCACAGAGGCGGTCTTTAACGCTGTATAATATCATGGACAATCTCTTCTGAAGTGGATTTTTCACCACGTTTCTTGGGTCATGGGCCCCAGATGGGGGCTTGACAAAAAGACAAACTGGCCGACTGGCTGTTGGTCGTAACATAACTTTGACTTCTGGACAGTTAATTCTGAGACAGCGAGTGGTAGCCAGTGGTGGCCAGACGCGGATATCAGTCAGTGGCCAGTAGTTGCGGCCATGAGGAACAGTGAGACAGTCGGTAGCCGGTAAGGACGTGAACACGTAAGCAGAGGAATCTACAGCGTTGACAGCCGTTACCAAGCAACGACGGGTGAAGACAAAGACTGAGAAGACTTAGTGCGTGCTGTAGTGAACTGTGAGTGCGAAAATCAGTGAAACGATTGTACTTATTTTTAGTCGCGGTTTATGAGAGTCCAATAAATCTGCTTACCAATCCAAACCACGTGACCATATGTATATATATGTGTATATGTGCCGCATTTTTGTGTACGGGCTCGGTGAAAGGCTTTTTCGTAGTCTACGCGTTTCGAGACCAGACTCGTGCATTTTGTCTGCTAGCCTTTTAGAGCGAAACTTCTATAAATGTAAGAACGTTGCATCCAGCCTGGCTCACGGTGATGGTTGAACCTGTCATGGCACTCACTTTCGTGTCAATAACTTACACTTCTGTATTTTGAACAGTGAGGGCATGTAGCACGAAGGGGGGAGATGAGGAATGCATGTAGGATATTGGTTGGAAAGCCAGAAGGAAGGAGACCACTGGGAAGACCAAGGCGTAGGTGGGTGGACAATATTAAAATGGATCTTAGAGAGAGAGGATGGGATGGTGTGGATTGGATTGATCTGGCTCAGGATAGGGACCACTGGAGGGCTCTTGCGAGCACGGTAATGAACGTTCGGGTTCCATAAAATGCTGGGAAATTCTTGAGTAGCTGCAGATTTGGCCTCTCCTCAAGAAGGGCTCAGCTCCATAAGTAAGTGACTGATATTTTACTGCTGCAATTATTCATTCATTTGGAATTTCACATTCTATCGAGCCCACGTTTATAAACTGCTGTAGTCATAGCATGCCGGTCTAAGACATGAACTGTCTTCGCTCGATTGGATGCTGGGATCGTGGGTTCGAATCCCACTTAAGGCATGGATGTTTGGTGTGCGCATGCGTTTATTCTGTGTTTGTGTTGTCCTGTGTGTAGGTAGCGGCTTGGCGACGGGCTGATCACTCGTCCAAGCAGAAGAAGACTGAAGTAGAGGCCTGGGCTGGAAGAGCCATTTGGGGCGGGGGGATAAAAGTCGTAGCATGAAGATAGCGCACCATACTTAAGGACCCTCCATTCTGATCTTATCTGTTCATGTTGCGCATTCCAATTTGGTTTCTCCCTTCAGCCCCATGACTATAAACGTCTTGCTCAGTTTATGTATTATTATCTGAAGTATCCGCCCAAGTTACAGGCCCTAACATTTCGTAACAAACTTATTCTTCCTTACGATAAGGAGTTGTTAACCTCACGCCCAACCCTCCAAGCTGGAGGACCACCCCTTGTCATCTTTTACCTACTGTTTATTCAGTATATTCGCAGCTGTTCTACACATCTGGAACATAGACCCATGGTATTTGAGAACAGGGTGTTGAGGAGAATATTTGGGCCGAAGAGAGATGAAGTGACAGGAGGTTGGAGAGAACTGCATCATGAGGAGCTTCATAATTTGTACTCTTCGCCAAGTGTAATTACAATCAAGTCATGGAGGATGAGCTGGGCATGGCACGTAGCACGAATGGGGAGAAGAGGAATTCATATATGGTTTTGATGGGAAAACCAGAAGGAAAGAGACCACATGGAAGACCTAGGCATAGGTTGGAGGTTAATATTAAAATAGATCTTAGAGAAATAGGATGGGGTGGTATGGATTGGATTAATCTGACCCGGGATAGGGAATATTAAAGGGCTGCTGTGAATGCGGTAATGAACCTTCGCGTTCCATGAAATGCTGGTAAATTCTTGAGTAGCCGAGCGACTGGCGGCTTCTCTAGAAGGGCTCAGCTCCTTGGAGTTAGTGGAAACATCCTGCATCACCTGCCAGAAGAAGTTTAAGGTGACACCATCCTCCAGGAAAGTATTGCTGTAGAAAGGGAAGTCACCGCCTGGTTCCGACAGCAGCCCAAAGAATTTTATGCTGCTGGTTTTCAGGGGCTTGTGAAACGATGGGACAAGTGCCTTAATGTACAGGGAGATTATGTTGAGAAATAAAAGCATTTTTCAAATCAGTACCCCTATTTGTTTAAGTTCTATATCCATTTGAAACTTACTTATTGACTTACCCTCGTATATTTGTGTATAACTGCAAGAGTCGATGTTACCCTTTTCCTGAATTATCAACTGATTATTAGCAGAATTACTTTGTTTACATGTTCGTCAGTGAGTTATGAGTTTTAAACAGAGCCCTAAATGGCGAGGTCAACGTCTTATAAGTTCGGCGTGGTGAAAACAAGTGAGATCTTTGTACATTTTTAAGTTCTGGGTCAGATGGCAGAAATGTACACCCCAACGCGTCGCGTATTGTAAATTCTAACTCACTTCTGATAAACAGAGATAAACGAGTATGCATGGGTGTGTCTTACGTAGGTCCTAGTAGCCAATCGGATGCGTTTCTTAAATGACAGCTCTAGCCGACATGCGTTAGGGAGTAATGTTCATGTTTCAGGCAATTGGTACGTATTAACAAGTTGCTAAAAGTAAGTCTCCTCCGGCCAAGATGAATGCACTCCTTACTTCTAAACACAAATACATATTTTAGGAGGATTAGTTAAGTCGGTATAGCTACGGGCTACGGGCCAGCCGGCCGGCGTTCGATTTCTGGCAAGGGCAAGGTTTTTCTGTTCTCCATAGCGGTCAGACCGGGAATGGAGCCCACCCATCTTCCTATACAGTGGGTGGGACAGGAAGCTGACCCCTCACTTCCATCTAGTGCCGAGGTTAAGAATGGTGGAGTTGTACCTCCACTTCCCCATATGTATTCATGGCATAGTGATTAAGTAATTAAGCATAGGGACAACTTTGCTATATTTTAGCAGTTCACTTCTTGAGAGGTCGTTGGGAGACAAAGTGTTACACATGTAGTTTAAATCCCTGATAGAAAGTCTTTCTTTCAGAAGAAACAAGTTGCGTCCTGTTCACGCAATGCCATAGCTCAGGCGGTTAGTTGCCGGCATCCCACTGCGGCGTTCTAGGTTCGAGCCCAGGTCAAGTCATGTGGGATTTATGGTGGACAAAGTGGAACTGGGGTAGGTTTTCTCCGTATACTTCGGTTTCTCCTACCAATTCTTATTCCACCGACTGCTGCACACTAATCATTGAGGCTGGTACAATAGGCCGATGTACCAAGTGGACTCAGTCTCACCCCACACGACGGCACTAAAAACTGTGCCCTGTTCATGGGACTGAATGAAATATGTGGCCTAAGTCCTTTCAGAGTACTTGTCTGGATCCTAAAACAATAATTAATGTATATCATAAATTAAACACAAAAAAGTGTATTTTAGTAAAGTAAAATTAATATTTGAAATGCTACACTGAGGCCACACATTCTGAGTTCCCAGTTGCAGTAACTCCAGGGGCACTATGCTACAAACCGGAAGGTCGCGGGTTCCAGTCCCGATGAGGTGGATTTTTTCAATTGACCTAATCATTCCAGCTGCACTGTGGCCCTGGGGTCGGCTCAGCCTCTAACAGAAATGAGTACCAGGAATCTTTTTGTGGGTAAAGGGCTGCCGGAGCGTAAGGTTAAAACCTCACCGCCATCTGTGAGCCGATTATCTGGAGAAAATGTGGGAGCCTCGACGTCTCACAACCCTATGGGCCTCCAAGGCCTGTTACAGGGATAGCTTTACCTTTTTTATGTAACGATCGTCTCTCTTGAAGAGCACGGCAGGCTCAGGCTATCGTAGGTTTCGTGTGTACTCCTGTCGCATACTGGATTTGTATTAGACGGAAGAATATGAGGAAACTAGTAACGTTTCTTCTTCCTCATATGTACACTTACTGTCTGTTTGGAAGTGTTCTGTGTGCCTCGTGACGTCGTTTCCGCTGCTGCACGCCGTGCAGTGTTCGATGACGGTCAGATGATGATCAGGAACGAATTTGGAAGAAAAAGTCGAGGTAGTATCCCTGGACTTGCCTGGAGGGACTGAGCAAAACTGCGAAATAGCACAATCAGGGTAGTTGGTGTCCTGGCCAAGATTCGAACCGAGCGCTTCCGAAATAAAAGTCTAGCGACCGCCGCTTGTCGGCGAAGTTAGTGTCAACTTTCAGCGGATAGAGGCCGTTAATCTCGGTTTTCTAGATCGGAGCCGCTACTTTTCCATTCAAGTAGCTCCTCAGTTATCCTCACGAGGCTGAGTGGACCCCGTTCCAGACCCATTACTCCTCAGAAAATCTGGTAGCGCCGGGAATCGAATTCGGGATGTCAGGATCTGTAGCCAGGAACTCAGACCACAAGACCACAGAGGCGATCCACACATACATACATATAGCAGCTCATAAAATCTGAGTGTGCCCTACGTAACAAGGGGAAAATTTATTGCGCTATGCGCAGGCGCGGATCGTTCTGTCTCGCGCTCTGTAAATGTGTTCACCCGCTCAGATTCTGTGCACCTGCTTTATACATACAGATATATCAAGATGCCCATAGCTTAACTGCATGCTACTCGGATCATTTCAAGTCGAACTTTTTAATAATCATGGGTCCGATCTGCAATGGTTTGTGAAGAAAACGAAAAACACATAACCGCAGTTGAATTTGGTTGTATTTCTGCTTTCGGGCCAGCCATTTGCTTACACTGTGATCTCTGTCGTTGCAGGGACGGTACACAGCAAGGATGAACTTCAGTCTAAGAAGAAGGAAGCTAACAGCAACGGTAAGCCGCCGAACACCGAAGAGAATGTGGCTAATAGATGCAGGAAAACGGCAGACTTTGGTCATAGCTAATTTATCACTTTGCAGTGAATTAAGCCAATTGAACCAAATCAAAAGATACAAGTTCAAGTTCATTTGTGGTCTTAAATTAAATTAACGGCCTGCCATACCACCATGGCCTGGGTTTCGTCCCACATGAGGTTATGTGGGATTTATGGTAGACGAAATGGCACTGAGGAAGGTTTTCTCCAAGTACTTCGATTTCTCCTGCCGAATCTTATTCCGCCATGCTAGTCTAACATCCGGGGCTGGTACAGGGGTCCCAGCAGTGGCTGACGTACCGAGTGAAATCAGTCACACCCCTTCCCCACAACAAAATAATAAAAAAGCGAATTAAAATAAATAAATACGCATTGAAATTATTTTATGGGCTTAAAGTGGATCGGAATGGGCCAAAATGGAAAAGGTTCCACAAAGATTCGTGTGGATTCATCCTGCGGACTTCCGATTGTGACCGGTTCGTTGTCCGCAACGTTCATTCTTGCGGACGGACACGATTTCCCGCGTGGGCACTTCCGTGCGTCTGTAGTAACTCGAAAAACTTCTTAATACCACATGCACCGGCATATATTTCCTCTCCGTATGCTCAACTAATAGGAAGCACTACACCATGAAGACGTTTCGGTGACTCCATGAACAAAGTTCAATGTGAGTTTCGTTTAATTATGATTGGGAATAAGGGACATACGTAGGCCTTCGTTGTATTCGGGAGACCGCTGATGGTTGTCGCGTGTGAAAGTGAAGAAATGTACGCTTAGGGTCCATTTAGTTTAATTGTCTCGAAAACGGTGCCACTTGGGAAAAGTACATACGTACATTCGGTTCTTCTCTACGATTTTCGTTGGAAATATTTCGCCGATAAATATTTAGCGAGTTACCCTCGAGGTAATGCACAGAAACACGTATAGGTCTTCCGGTGAAGTGATCGTTGCACTTTCCAGATTTAAGTACATACCGAAACAGCAGGAAATATATTGTCACGTGTTAAGTGACTAGACACATGGTTTGGATTAGTTATTGGGTTTATTGAACTCTAACAGATCTTAACTACAAGTGATCGTAGCGCTATCTCTGATTAACACACTCTACAATTTACTATCGCCACGTCCTAAATCTTCTCAGTCTGCTGTGTATTCACCAGTCGTTGCTTGGTAACGGCTTCCAACGTCGTAGATTCCTCATCTTCCGTCTTCACGCCCATACGGCCTGCCGGCTGTTTTATAATGCCTCATGGCCGCAACCTTTGGCCATGATTGGTAGCCGCGTCTGGCCACCACTGGCTCTCGCTTTCTTAGCCTAGCACTCACTTCCGACTCAGAACTAACTGCCCGGAAGTCAGAGTCAAAGTTAAGTTCGACGGTCAGTCGGCCATTCTGTCATGGTGTAAAACCCCATCCGGGGCCCAAGACCAGATTTTTGTTACTGTCAGCCAGTTGCGGTTTTGTCGATGTGAGGCGCCGCCTCTGGCGAGAAGACGGATCTGTCGTTTAGCTGCTGGTCCTCGCCAGCTCAGTCATTCTCAGGTCTGAGTCCCACGGGACTCATGACCATATTTTACTGTCTCAAAATCGAGACACCTCCAACCTGGAGGGCCAGGTCCCTGTATTTATTATACCCCAATGACAGGGTGGCCTCGTCTCCACACGGGCTTTGCTAACTAACTTAAAACCCGAACTGGCTCTCCTTATATAGTGTCACAGTATTAGTGTTCTGGATTGGATGAACGGGTTTATTTACTCCTTATACACGCCACCAATAATTACACGTAATTATAGCGCGTTCGCTGTCCACCTTATAAGTCATTGTCTCTCTCTCTCTCTCTCTCACACACACGCGCGCGCGCGCACGCACGCACGCTAGTCGTCTCCTGGTGACGCAGTTAAAACCCAGGAACTATAACAGTCTCACTGAATTACACACTTCATATAGTACACATAAAGTCTTCTCTTCTCAGCCATACTCTTAACTGCAATGCACTCCCAAATCTTTTCCATGACGGCTTTGTGTCCTTGACTCACGGCTACTCAGCTGTGACTACTGTCAAGCGACCTTTATTGTCCCTTGTAAACCTTCGGCAGGGAACACTCATAGAAAACACCTATTATTATAGACGTGTTTATAGTTCCATTGCCTAGCACTGGGCATGGAGCGGACCACATTGAAAGCACAAGTCACATGATTGCTATCTCGCAAGTCCATTGGCGCGAGCTATAACATCCGTCCTATCGTTGCGTGCACGAATCGCGGGGTTGTTTATCGAGCCATTGGCAGTGCGTTGAAACGTCACAATAGCCTCGGCACGGGCCGCATAGAAAACACCGCCATCAACAGTTCAGTTGTTGCTTGTGCATATCCGTTGCCAAGGAGACGTGTTTACACAGCCATAACCTAGTAACGGACGTCTCTTCCGATTAAACTATTCCGGCTTTAAGCGGACATGCCACATGCTGTTTCATGGTCATTTTCCCATCGATATTCGAGTTGATTAATGTGTTCAGACAGAGACCGAATAAAATTGCTAATTGCTTATCTCGCATGGTTGCGCACGCGCTAAGAAAGGACGATGACGCTCCATTACGCAAGATGGTAGCAGTGTTGCAGATTGTCCGGTATCTAAACGTTCGAGTTTTGTTATGAATTGTGGCTGAAAGCAGGCTGACGTCACGACACCTGTTCGAAGGATGTGATGATGAAGTTGAATACGTCGTGAGTGGTTAACCGTTTACGTGTTTAGCAAATAGATGCTCCCATTTGTAGCTGTGTACGCTGTCGTGTTCGTTCGCAAGTTCCATTCACGAATGTCACAGCTTGCACTGCGAAACACCCTACATCCTGGTTGAGCGGTTAGAACTCTTGACGCCAGTTAGAGAGGGCTCGGAGGTCACTTATCCTGACAGGATTTCGTGGTATTCCCCAGTCCGTCCAGGCAAATTAGGGGCAGTGCCTCAAATTAAACCACAACTCCTTTGTTGTACATCCTTCCCAACTCGACTTACTTCTACCGGTATGAACGAAGGTAAGGAATGTTCGTATGTTCTAGATATCGCAAGGGACGAGATTTTCGTCTTCTGCGCAGTGGCTCTGTCTGTCCCTTGCTCTTGTCCTTCAGCGTTAGTCGTGGCAGTGCCCATTCATGCAACTCGCCTGTGTCATCTGAACCGAGCTCCCTCACTTAATGTAGTCGACCGTCAAAACAAAAGAAAGGAACATTCAATAAATGAATCCAGTTCCGAATTAATATATGTCGCATACTTTTCATAGTAACGTGTTAGTTTGGAGGAAAAGACGGTGCGTGGTATGTTGCGTAGCTCAGTAGGGTTTTTAGGTATCGCTTTATATCTTTTTTCATAACAAACACCGTTCAAGTAAACTGATTGGTTACAGCAGGCGCTAGTTAGAGCTGACAACGGACCGAGGAGTCACTCCGGCGGAAAAAATGGTATCCAAAGTTTTCCCGTGTGCGCAGCGCCTGGACGCCATGTTACTCGCAGAGAAACGGCACAGAGATGTGATGCTTTGGTGCCCTAATTCGAACGGGGAACGATGTTGGTAGCGGATGACACGATGTCGTGGACCTATATCGTGGCCTGCGCATTCCACACAGTAATAATAATTCTACTGTTTATGTATTCACGTTGAATTCAACAGCCAGGGGCCAGTTACAGGATCAGCACCAATACAAAATGACAGCAAAATAAACACAAGGACAAAATAAGAGACAAACAAATAAGTAAAAGGTTGAATCAGTTACGGTAATTTAAATATAAGCGTAAAAAATCAAAAAGGTAAAGCTGTCCCTGTAACAGGCCATGGAGGCCCATAGGGTTGTGAGATGTTGAGGCACCCACATTTTCTAAACAGTCGGCTCACAGATTGCGGTGGGGTTATTAGCCTTACATGCCGCCCGCCCCTTACCCGCAGGAAGATTCCTGGTACTCATTTCTGTTAGACGCTGAGTCGACTCCAGGGCCATAGTGCGGCCGGAAGGATTAAGTCAGTTGAAAAATACAATGACACCCCCCACCCCCAAGGCAAATACCGGACAGCACCGCTTCCTTCCACACCCTTGTCCAATTCGGACAATATCTGACGCCAATGTTGAGTTACACGCGGTGCCGTCAGTGAATTACGAGAAGGAAAGGATTTAGGACTTGCGCCGGAGGATCTGTAGCCCCGGCAATGTCAGCCGGAACAGGCTTGAGGGGCAGATGAACTTATTGACCAGGTTAGCTTAGCGGTGACGCTGTAGATTCGAATTCGGAAGACCTAGCTACAGACGGCGTCGTGAGATATCCGACGAAATAGAGGTTGTGTACACTGACTGGTAGTTGTTTCCATTGCAACAGTCAGTACCTGTTTCCCTCCCTTCGAGATGTGCGTCAGTAAACAAGACAAGTGAATGTATGCGTCCCTCCCACGCCACAGAACTGACGTCATACGCAGGTACCGCATAGATAGACGCAATTCCAAAAGGCCCATGATACCGTGGGTCAGGTACAGTGTGCCAGGAAGAGGCAGCGAGATTGCTGGAAGTTGTGGATTGCTCCCTCAGTTCCAACAGACGGTAGTCGGTGCGAGGGAGTACAGCGACAGTTGGAGATTTCATGTCGGTCAAATATTAACGCGCACTTCGACAGTTAACATGCAGACGAAGCCAAATTATCCGCTTCCTTTATGGAGTAAGTAGCTGGCCACGTATAGATTTGCTGCGTTATGCAAAATATAGATGTCATTAACATATATAATTTTTATTTGAATTTTTTTAGGTATCCATCCCGTATGTGCAAAAAACGAGGCGACGGTAGGATGGAAGGTTTTAAATTACGCAATGCACGTTTACTGTAGCAACGAATTATAGAGCGTTGACAGGTTGCGCGTGTGTATATCAGGACAGGAATGATAAGCAGTCTCGTGTCAGTTTATCGTGTCTATTCTGTGAGT